CCATCAGGGAAAAATATCCCCACTCCCGAGTCGTTCCTGCTTTTCACCCGCCTTCCCCCACGGCTTTACTCAACCCTGATGTCTACTCGTACCCACTTCCTCACTCCAAGTAGGACCCCATAGTTACCCTCCAATCGAAAGGCTAACCTCCTCTGAGTCGAGATCCACCTACATTCCCCTTATCGGCCACCACCTCCTCCATCCTATGCCCGCCCCACCTCATGGCTTCGTCGTCACGTGAACCTCTTCATCTCTGCGCAAATCACGCACGCAGAATTCCTTGACTCAGTGCAAATTAGGCTGGCACGAGCCGGCTCGTCATTTTCCAAGGAGGCTTGAGCTTTTACTATATATTTTGGGGCTCTAGCCTTTTTTCCCTACCGGGCTCGAGCTTTTCCCCGGTCGCCGGTCGGGCTGGAGTCGACTCGTGCCCAGGCCAGTGAAAATCGCACACTTTGGAAGTGGGAAGGCAGAGCGATAGCAATAGCAAGCGTGGCTATAGAAAGCGTGGAGGGTCTGGCGTACGGTTAGATGGCGTTGTACAAGCACGTGAAGGCCCGATATGTAGCCTCTCCTGTGCGCACAGGCTCAGAAGCGATTTTGGGTTGGAGAGTCACAAAGGACAGGAGAATGAGTTGTGGGTGTCACTGGAGCGATTAGTGCTGCAGTCTTAGGAGGGTGTTGTGCCAACCAGACATGTAGTCTGGTTGGCACAACACCCTCGTAGAGGTTTAGTGCCAGATCAGGGTTGGCGTATTCTCGGTGGTGCGCAAGGGATTTTTTTTTTTTTTTTTTTAAATACTCATTACTCCTATTCAGTCCCAGTGAGGGGACTATGAGGAGCCACAGATGGCAAGACGGCCGGGTACTACGACTATGCAGCAACTCAAACCGTGACTCCCCACGATATAAACAGTAGGTGGGGTCAAAGCGCACCCTCGACGGCACTATTCGGGGTCAATAAAAGGAATCCCGAACCATAAGGTTGGAGAAGTATCATAGTTCACCACCGGAGTCGTGGAAGACGTGCACCAGAGGTGGTCTCGAGGTTCGGCATACACTTACACCCCGCGAGAACATATAAGACTCCCTGGCACCTCTGTAGGGAGAGAACCTCAAGTTATCTGGCTGGTGATGGAATTCATCTCGTCGACGAAACAGCAACAAAGCGACGAACCATAACAGCAACAAAGCGACGAACCACACAGCGTAATGTCGGACGACAGGGCTGCCAGAACCACAGGAAATATCCCCTCTGCCACGGCGGCTGCGCCTCACTGCTAAGGAACAAACCTAGAGGTAAACTGTAACAGTAGCCGCGACGGGAGAAGATCGGGGAGAACACTAAGCTAACACAACCCGACCCCTCACCACCCGTCACGAGTCGCCCGGTCCGGCGGCCCCATACACTATCACATCCGGTCGGTTCGTCCGGTGCATTTCGGTCAAATTCGGTACGTCCGGTATGTCCGTCCAGGTCCAGGTCCGTCCAGCTCCGCCAGCTCCGCCAGATCCGCCAGATCCGCCAGGTCCGGCCAGGTCCGGCCAGGTCCGCCAGGTCCCGCCAGGTCCGGCCAGCTCCGCCAGCGCCAGATCCGCCAGGTCCGGCCAGGTCCGGCCAGGTCCGCTAGGTCGCCGGCCAGGTCCGGTCGGGTCCGGCATTTCAGCCACTGTTAGGAGGTGGATAGCATGACGTTATCCGTTAAGCAGATATGTTTCCGTGTATTAAGAACGGGCTATATCTAAATCAAGTGTTATAGAAGTCGTGCAACTTCTCTTGGCAATTGGGAGTTGTCCACGGAACATACCGAGATAAGAGAAGAACGATGGATGACGACTTATTTCTACTATCCATGTCAAAGGACCGGGAAGACGTGTACGTGTTTGCGGAGCTCCCATGCATGACGTTCGTCTAGAATGTGTCCACTAACTCTACAAGACGTATACTCTTATCTACCCTGGGAAAGTACATTTCTATTTTGTCGGTTCATACATATGTTTGAGTTGCCCTTTACTAACTTGAGAAATCCATATAGAGAAGCCTCTTACTTTAAGGGGCCGCAGGTGAACTTGGGTCAGATTCAAGAGCCGTAATTGACCCAGAGGGAACGCGTGGTACGCGATAGTCGAATATGTACCGAAGCATGGCTGTCCCCGGGGGTCTCCATAACCGAAGTAGCTTAGCCGTTCTGCCTGTGGTCTAGGACGGTTACGCCTGTACTGTGTCTTTTGCCCGTGGTGTAGTGCAAGCTTACGGGCGAAATGCTGTGTGTTGCTGCAATATACCCGTTACACTTCCTCACCCTCCTATAACTAGCCGGGTATACCTATTTCCTTCTTCTCCTCCTCCTGCTCACCCTACGCCATCTCCGGAAAAAATCAAAGGACATGGTTTCCGACACGCCTTCTCCCCCAATTAGTTCTTCTTCCCGTACCCGCACATGCGTCTAGAGTCAGTCCGGGAAGACCCAGTAGACCGTGTATCGGCCAATCACTGTCGTACCTCCGGACGCGAATTGCTTAAAGTAATGTGTAAACAGAGGAAAGCCGAGCGCAAGAATACAGAAGGACGGGACTACATGTGTCAAAACTAAATGTGTTACAGACATAGATCAGAAGACGAAAGACGCGCGCCGCCTAGACCGTCTAATTGAACGGAACAGGACTTAGGTGGGCCCAAAGGCCCA